ATATGGAAAAGTTCAAGGGGTATGAATACTTTTGCAAACCACTGTATCTAGTCTCAACAAGTCCTCTAGTATCTCCACTTTTAGGGGAAATAATGATAAGAAAACCTAACCCATGACTGAAAAGAGAATCTGATTTGAGTTTGCAGTTTTGCAGAAAAGCAAACTTGAAGTAGTTTTCCTCGTGCTGTTTACAAAAATCCCCTCATTCTGATGGTTTAGTGTTTAATCGAGGGTTTGAATCAATTTAATTTAGTTTTTAATCAACACTGTAACAGTGAGACAGGTACAGTATTTAGATTTAATGAATATAATTAGATGCATATGAACTTCAGTAAGTTGAAGCTTCTTTTGGAGCCACTAAAAGAGAGGAGGGGCCACGGTAGCTCGGTGATTRGTGACCCGGTCTCATAAGCCTGTAGCTGCAGGTTTGAGCTCAGGTCGAGTCAGGAAGATCAGCTGCAACATCATCTGTRCTAGTTCGCTCACTGTGGACCCCCGCAGAAGGGTCCAGCTGAAAGACAAACAACAAARGAAAGACGCAGAATAGAGCAGGGATCATTTCAGGCTGATGTTAAAGAATTCAAAAAGTTTATTTGTTAATGAGATGTTTRTGAATAAAGTGAGTCTGAAACATACAAAACATGACTCTTTAGATAAATAAACATGTTAATTATATTCAGTTTGATTTCAACCTTTAAACTGAGACAYTTTTACAGAATATTTAGTTCTGTTTGACAAATATCAGCTGAAGGCGTCTGTCAGTTACTGAGCTGCTGCTATCGGCTCATCTCGTCGTTTCTGGAGTCTTTTCTCGAAACGGGGGTTCTGCAGGCTACTAGTACTCTGAGTCAGATTACATCTTTTAGAAGTTGCCTCTGGAGCTTTAAGAGATAATCAGACAGAGATAGAATGATGTTAGGAGCTGCATGAAGTCTTTCACACAGATAAGATTCTCATGTAGCAAAGTAAGACCGTCAAGTATGTTCACTATCTGAATCAGTCGTGGATTTTAAATTCTTTTCTTATTTTGACTTTAGCTGCTGAAGCATTTTTAAATAGTACTAGCTGAGATGTATAGTCAGAGCAATTTTTTTAACTTACGTTAGTGGAAAGGCAACATGGGTCTTGCTTAGGCAGGTTTTCTTTACTCTGGCATCAGTTTTGAAACTGAAAAGCATTTTTTATTCAATCTAAGATTACAGAAAAGAGTCACAAAGGTCCTAAAATGATAAATCAAACCTTTTGCAGTTAGGTCTCATGGACTAGTTGTGAATAGATATTTTTGTTACTTGTTAGACAGCTAAGGAAGGTTGTTCACAGAGCTACTTAGTGCCTCGTTCCTTCGTCATGTTCCTTGTCTCCTTGCTACGGCTGAGCAGCGCAAACAAAAGCTGAGCTCTGTGTGGTATTTTGTGCATAGAAACAGCGTTTTAACACATTCTCGCAAGACACTGATAAGTACTACATCTAGGTCTGACTAARTGTGAAATAAATAAAACAGAAATACTGTTAAAAGTAAAAGTAAGAAAGTTTTACTGCCGTCTTCAAATCTGAGTTGGAGTTGCTCCCACTTGCTGACAGAGAATTATCACTGGAAGGTRGTTTCAGTTTAAATGCACSACTTGTAAGTGGGAAATTCCCKGTACAACTGGGTCACAGCAAAATTACCCAGTGGAATTGCAGCTTAATTTGAGATTTTACATGGCGAACAGGAGCATCACAGCTGAAACAGTGGAAGTTAACACAAGATTTTTGTCCATTTTAAAACTTTAAACAAACGCTTAAATATAGTGGAACTAAAAAACACTAATTTGTTTGTATTGATGTTAAAAAATACTACAACATATCCAGACATCTATAAGGGTAAATGTGGCTGCATGTTCAGGGGARGTTTTAGGTTTTCTGTAGCAAGATTAGACAAGCAGCTAATTACCTTCAATGAATTAGTTACCCCATTAGTGYAAAGTCAACCAAAGTACACACACAACTACGGTGAAAAGTTTTAAGTAGACTTTCAGATTAATTCAGACCAGGTTTTTCTTCACATGAGTGCAAGYCTGGACTTTGTTGCCTAATGAGATCAAAGTTAAAACATCCCCAGACTTGAAATGAGTGAATACCCACATCAAAAGACCCCTGATGGGTATTTAGTTCAACAGTAAGTTCTCGCATCCCGAGTGGGAATGGTTGAGAAAAAACAGACGTTTAATTGTGGTTCAGGAGAGCAGCACTTTCTGGAACCCTAACAAAACACAGTTTCTGGATAAGAAAAAGATTTTTTTTCTTTAAAAAATTTAGAAATTCCCCCCTTTCTTTTTCTTTCTTTCTTTCTTTCTTTCTTTCTTTCTTTCTTTCTTTCTTTCT